CCTAGGAGTCAGTGACTTACACGAGTGAGCTATGGGTGACGGCTGCGTCGTCCTTGAAATCCAACTGCGATAAATCGCATGTTATGAGTAAGGCTGGCCTCCAGAGCTACGACTTCCTCTGCAACTCGCCACCAAATAAGATGACATGTAAGCTGCCAAGGTAATTATTTGCTAATAAGTACTAAATTCCTTAGCAGCTTACATGCCACTCCGGCTGATGGCTGTTTGCAAAGGTAGTCTTAAGTCTGATGGCCGGCATGGTTCTCCTTATGTGGCAGGTAAGCAGCGCTACATCGCGGTTAGAAATCAGACATAACAGTCCTGCACGTCACTCATGGGTCAGTCGTCTAAGCCGCTGACTCCTAAGTGTAAAGTTATGGATACGAACCTGGCCGGATCCGACTGATGCATCCCAATGAGACGAAACGGCTGCCCGGCGTTTCTATGGATGTGTGACGGATGCGTAGTGGTGTCTAGCTGTGACGAAACTTTCGAGAAACACAAAAAGTCTCTCTCATGCTCTGATATCCGATGTGCGTTGTGAATCACGTGAAAATGTATCCCAACACTATCCAGGTTCTCATTTAGTAGAAAGATGAGCTCATTGATTATTAAAAAAACTAACGGTATCAGCTGCCGAGGTGTTGCATCGTCCGACAAAGCCCCAACGGCCGTTCTTGCTAAAATGTGTTCGTTCTCACAGTCAAATTAGACTAGATAAGAAGAACCACTGTTTCCACTATATTTGTAATGGTCAGACTGGCAAAGCATTATTAATCACGATGTCCTGACTTTGCATGCCGCTTGTCCTCACTCATCATACCGTCATTCACACTAACTCCACACATAACACAGCTTTTTAAAACAGCATTCTTGAAACCCTGTTATGTTTCTCAAGTTGAGTGCAGCAGTTAACATGCTGGGCGATTCGGAACCAGCGATTCAAATATATACCACACAATTTCGGGCAAGCGCGACGTGGCTTTAGGCCAACAACACCCGATGACCGTCTCGCAAGGGACACGGACGGTATCGTCTGTTCGAAGGTACTGTCTAGCACACATGTCCGTCATGCCCCCTACCAGAAACAAGGATAACCACGGTGGCGCTTCTCAGGTCGGACGAACAACGAGCTTCTTGCGGCTGATCTGAGGAACAGAGCTGTGAAAATGTCGCAAGTTCAGCTTACGCCGGGTTAGGAAACCTTTTGGTCGTGTCCAGGAATGTGTCCCTGGTTGACAGACAATGGAGAAGCGAATTGCTTCAGAAACTGACCAGTAATCTGATTTCAGAACCCGTCCGTGCTAATCTCCGTCGTCTCGCTTACTGCGACTCTGCAGGTAGCCGTAGAATTTAAAATCAATTTCTTATGCTACATAATGGATCGCCTAAAGGGGGCGGCCAACCATGTATTAAACGGCCACAAACTCCTTTGTTACCAATGGAATTGTTATTCTTTTTATGGCCAAAACATGCAAACCAAGCTCAATCCGGAATAAACGTTCAGGTAAACTTTCCATATTGCTGCTTTCGAAGCTTCCACCCGAAGTTAAAGACAGACACCTTATGGACCAATTGAAAAACATTTTCTTCATCGCGAATCCGAGTTGTATCACACATGCTAAAAATCAGAAGATTCTGGTCTTGTTTTCGAATGGTGAATGTTTAAAGTGCTAAGCAAGTCCACTGCAGGTGTTTCGTTGCCAAACCAAATGAAATCTCTTCAACGCGAGGTGTTAGAGATAGCCATAGTAATAACAACAGACCTGTTAACAGAAATCGTTCTCACCGATTGGAGAGGATTGGAACCGGCTAATAGGTTGAGCTTTATATACTACTGGACGTCAGTAATCAAGCTCCATCCACATGGACTGTCGGATGCTTTACTCGGCAACGCTTAGGTGGTTTATATTGGCCACTAAAAAGGCAGTTGCAGTGGGATGGCTCCTCGTAATCCTATTGGTGCAAAAGCCACATCAGCCATGGGCGCATTCAAAAATGGAATTCCGTTACGGGCCAGTTGTTTCACGTGTTCATTTTCACTCTAATTGGTTTCCTTGTCCCAGATTTGCCGGTAGACAAACCCGAAATCAATAGACATGTTTTAGAAATGGTTTGTAGAGAAACTGGTTGCAAAGTGTCCCTTCACTTTTCTCGTTTCTCCATACAACGGAATCTCCGTCTACCCTTAAGTTGTGCGATCACGGCTGTTGCCACTACAACTACCACTACCAAGTCAACACATCGCTTTGATTGGTGGAGGATCGTCTGCGATCAAACTGCTCAGCTCGGCAAACAAAGTAGCATCGCTTACTGTTCAGCAAGCGAATCGCTCCTTAAAGTTTGCAGCGAGCTGGTTGATCTAAGGATATACGTAATCGTCCAGTGGTTTCGTTCGCACTGACGGTCAATGTAGGCAATTTAGGTTGTTCTCCAGCGATGAATGCGATAGTAGTCGTGAGATCTTCACTGTCGAGTGTTATAAAACTCAGTCAAACAGCCACTGTTTATTCAGCGAAGCACTGGACGGTCATTCCATCTTCTCAAAACTCGTTAACCATGTACATTACACCTGCCTAATGTGGAGCTGTAACTTGCGATCATTCGGCGAACGACTGGTCCGGAAGACTAAGCAACTAGTTACGGTACAGCTTGGTACCCACCACACGTTACGATGCGCTTTCAGGCTAGAGCATGATATCATCCGACTATGGGGAGTAGGAAAGGTAAGTTACATCTCCGAGGCTAGTTCTGTCTTCTACTTGTTTGCACCGCGTATAGCGGAGGAGAAATGCCGCACTATATCAAATACAGTTAGATGGTGACAGCAGGTGCCTAGTGATCGCAATCACTGTCACCATAGTGATTGCTGACGGGTTCTAGCCTTCACTGGGAGGATGGTGCACGCTACTCTCAAGTCCCAAATTAAACGAACGATCGTCTAAGGTTTTTGGAATGTACTGTATTTGCCTGTTTTATCTTAACAGCAAAAATATGCTGATAATCTTAAACGGAACACCTTTTGCAATTGTAAACAATGTCACAGGACTGTCCGTAAATCAAACTTCTTAATCAAATACCCTCATCCAGAGTCTTCGAATGTAGCAAGTAAAATCAGGGCTGAGTAGACCTTATCTGAATCATTTAAGGTTTCGCTGAGCACACCCCAACTGAGCCCCTCTATTTAAACCAGCTCATTTGGGTAAATCCGTACAACAGATAACTTAATCAAGCGATTAGTTTATAAAAAAACGTTATTCCGTTTTGTCCACTATCAATGTTCAAGTAGTTTAGCTTCTTAGAACTTAAAAGCAGAACGCACTAAAGCTTAAGAACTAAAACTTTTGGCTCTGTTTTCGACCACATTTATCTAACAGCTGCTATGTACAGTCGACGAGAGTGCCACTTTGTATCCCAGTTGTTGTCGCCCAGCATCACACTGAGAAGATATCTTATTTCCTTTTTTACTCGAACTGGTCTCATATGGAAAAATACTCTGAAGTTCAAGAAACTACTGAAAGTTGGGATGATTCGTACTGTTTACACCTTTCACTACAAGAAGGAAAGATACGGCAGACACTGGACTATGGTCCGCTCACCGCGATTCTTCTCTAGTAGCCGTATCATGTTTACAAACCTGATATCGCATAAGGTATATTGGTCTAAGATATTTCCAGTTGAGCTGAGTGCGAGATTGTGAAAGTAGGTAAATAGCACAAGGGTGAACTAGGAGGAGATAACCAGTGTAAGTAAAAAGTTCATTCCAGCTAGACTCAATCAGACAGCCGTCACACTCCCGGAAAGGCGCTGAAAGCCAGTCTTAGCTTTTCGGGAATCGTTAGCAGTGCGCATTATATTTGACTCCTGTGGGGCTCCAACCAGCAACTCGACTGTTACTAGTGTATGGTTTCAAGTCAAGTCGTCAAAATAGGTTTTATCCACCTAACCAGGTGCATTATAAATATTTACATTGTCACTGTAGATTAACCGAGTGAATGAGACCAATTAAAATTGTATAAAAACAGATTTAAGAATTACGCTAGGAAGAAGTGCATGCGAATAAACTCCTAAATTTTGTGCATGCATGTGAGAGGCAGATAACATTTGTGTAAGAGTACTATGTAGTGGAAGAGAGCTGCACTAAGGAAATTAGAAGAAATATTCATGCAAGCGTCGAAATACTTAGGAGCAATAAAGTCAACTATGAAATCTCTAGGTAAGCCACCGCATCTGGTAATGGGCTTCATCGATCGCACAATCAAAACATAGTTCTTTTTCAGTAGTACAGGAAGATTACTGGGGAACAGTACAACCAGCGGGTTAGTATACATGTAGTTACAAATATCAAAGTTAAGCTTAGCGGTACGGGGAAGTTCTTCTGTCAGAAAGCATAACAAGATAACCTTCGCAACTAGTGAAAGGTCTCCACAACGCGCATGGAGC